CTCTTAATGCATAACTCCAGCTCTGTATGGTCCTAATAATGCCTCATATCTCATGTGAATTAAATATACTAATTCATGTTTGTCAAGAATTTTGATAGTGTAGTGAAGAGTACCATAGGGAAAAAAAAACAACACAACAAAAAAAACAAACCAAAACAAGAGGGAATGGGTTTTCTGACCTCAAAGCAGGATTTGAATTATGTGCAATAAATAAATCCTGAAGCCACATGTTGAACAATGAGAATAAAATGATACATTAAATAGCTGCTCATTAGCTGAGCATTTTTATTCCTTCATATGGAATAAGACAGAGGGTTGTAGAAAAATACATAGATATGATCAAATATTTCAAGAGTATGTCATAATTATTCCTTATTGAAAGATTGATATTTTTCATCAGCTAAACAAAAAAAATTATGAAAATAATGGCTTGAGTTCAGTCCAAAATAATCTTTTTGTTTATTTTTATCACCAAAATAAAAGCATTTTCCTTATAAGCCAAACTTAGTTACATTTTGTAACCAGCCATTACTTTGAACTTAAAAATTATAGTATATTATTTTTAAAATCTCAAGCCACATTGTGGTGGCTGCTACAGATTTTGAAAGGTATTTTTCAGTTGAAGCCTCCATACAGTTTCTGTACATACATTCAGTTAATCTGAATCTTCCTTTTTCATATAATAAACTATTAAAGTAAAACACTGAATTAACCTCTAGTCTCCGCATGGGTAGGGAGAGAGGTCAGGTGAAAGCCAAACAACCAAACCAAAGCTTGGTAGTTTGAGCTCTAGACTCTGAAGGATCAGCGACTTGGTCTTTTAACTTAGCTTTGGACGGAACCAACCATACATGATAAGGGAATATTAGTTAAGTTTTATGGCTTTGCAATCCAGGACATCATACTAGATAATCAGAATCAGCTTTTTCAACTTGAACAGTCTATTTATATTAGCATTTGAAATTTAGCATAAGTAACTTGTTCATCCTCAGCATTTTATATATAGATTATATGTTTATTTAGGCAATTATTGTTATACTTCAAAACAGCAGCAGCAGATAGAGATTAATGTCATTTTATGGAATGAATACAGAGTGTTCTGCTACAGGTTTTCCACTGAAAAATTAGATATGGAAATGGGCCTGCTTGCTCATTAAAACATCTGAAAGGACAGTACTTTGAGTACTTAGGCAAAAATGACAAAGATGCCAAATAAGATGAACCGGTGGAGGAAGGCAAAGCAGCAGAAAAAAGTGGTGGGGAAAGAGACACCTAGAATGAGAGATCTTCAACGGCAATAAGGAAAATAAGAAGGAAAAGAAAAAAATCGGTGCTCCTGCATGATCCATCAGAGAATGTAATACTGATCTCACTCTTAACTGGAGGCTGAGAATCTTAAGACATACAGTCTGAAATACTATGAAATAAGAATAACCTGTTTTCATTCCATACAAAGGTATTCAGCTAAGCTTAAAGCTGAAAACTCCCTTTAGCAATGTTCTTAGTAAATAGCTCAAGTATGAGATCATTAAATAAAAATTCAGAAATAATTCATATTCACATCAGAAACCAAGTAAGTCATGTATGTCCTAATTCAATGGCTTTGACTATAGATTCTGAGTGTCCCTTCCACTACCCTCGCAGTTTAGCTTACAGATTTTAGTATTTTTATTATATTTGGATAATCTCTCACGTTTGTAAGTTTATAATGTGTGATGAACTGTAATTACATGCACAAGGCAAATGTTGCAGTTTGCAGAGTGGTAAAATTATTTTTTTTAAAATAAGTCCTCCTAACACTGCTAGCCATCTGACTTCAATTCATGATAGCAGTCCAACAATCAATCACTAGGGGCATTGGACACCCATAATTAGATTATAAAATCATAACTATAGTCATTTTATGTCTGCTTGCATAATTACATCAGCATGCTAATATCCTTTTAATGGTCTCTAATGATGTAATAAGAAATAATGGAATTTATTTGACAGCTACATAACCATTAACAAAACATATTAAGCATAACTATTACTTCCATAAAGATTCAGACAGTATCCAAAAGTGACAGCTAACATGTTGGATCTTTTCTTCAACATTGAAATATTTCTAATTATGAATTCCCCAAATCTATTCCCACTCATCTGCTTCACAGGGTGAGCGAAGTTTATGTCAATGCAAACTTGACAACAAACCAACTGTAGAAGTGGACTGAGTGCTCTGGGAGCCAAGCCTGAGGCTATACTGAGAACTGCAGGCCATCGGTTAAAGTTGGCAGGATTGTGAAGGATAGAAGATAAAATAAACGGACTATTACCATGCATCAACTAATCAAGAACTAACACAGCAATTGGTAGGAATCCATGCAAAGGCAATTGTTCACCTAACAAACTCCAAAGCACAGGAAAAAACTAAAAATATAGAGAAAGGAGAAAGATATTTGCAGACAAAACTAAATAAAGGTAGCAATGTATTTGTGAAGCAGTCTATTTATCTATTTATTTTTAGAGAAAAGGACAAGAAACTCTAAATTGAGAATGTAAAGAAATTTAGAAGAACTCACCACTCATCCTCTCCCCTCAGTTCTTCTTACACTATTCCTTTGAATGTGATGGCTTTGTCTATACTCACAAATTAATGCTGTGGTTCTCATTAATATGTCTTTACCCTGAAATCTTTGCAATAGTCTAAAAAATTCTGGTCTACACTGTTACTTTCTTACTGTTCAGAATTCTTGGAGAGGAGTGAATTGAGAATTTTACATTAATCTAATACTCAGGTAGGAGTTCAAAATAGACTTTTAAAAAAACCTGAATCCCTAAGAAAAAGAGTAATTTTAGTTGCCAGTAAAATAAAATAATTTTAATTGCTCATGATGCCTTAGGCCAGGTAAAAAACGTATTTCCTGAGAGACCTCATTCTCACACTTTGATATGTCAAAGGTGGATTAGCAGCAACCACAACATCAAGTCTTTCCTGAAACCCCTCTCCATGGTGCCCCTCAGAAGCTAACCAAAGTCTTTCAATTCATACAGTTTTCCAATGATGGCTGCGTAGTGATGACAAAAGAACAAATCCAAAAAGCTTTGATTTTTCACTTCAGGAGGCATTTTCTAAGGACTTTACTACTGCTATATGTGCTACATATATATATCTACTGGCCAGCTCCACATTGCTTTAGCATTCCATGGGTTTAACCTAAGTCAAAGCATCTCATTTTCTCAAATAAAGAACATTTATAATGGATTAATTCTGCACTAACTTGAGATTTGGGATAAACTCTCATGGATTTATAGATCTTTTAAAAAGGCAAAGACTTTGTTTGTGTTGATAGACAGAATGCTTGGTCCTGTTTGCAGTTACTATCTGTCAAAACACACTTTAAAAGCACTGACCACACAATACAAGTACTTTCAGAACAGTCATATGACTGCATATTAATGGCCACAAAATAAACAGCTTCCCTAATGTCATACAATTTAAAAAAAAAGTTGTTCATAGCTAGCTATATCACTGGAGGGATATTTTTCATTAGAGAATGAAATCACAGCCTGCCAATTGCAATGTTGTTGTGATTTATCAAATGATAAAAAATAACCAAAAGGCTCTATGCTAACAATTAGAAAGCGAGGTGATAGTGCTCTTGTACTGTAAATGAATGAACTTAATGAAGCAGAACTTGTTGATTCCAGCAGAGAAATTGTTCCATGGGATTACCTCTTTAAATGTGCAGCAGACTTTATCTGCTAGTATTCAAAGTCAAGGTTGTAAATTCTCTTTACAAGGAAGACCACATAATATTGTCATTTTTTGTAATTTCAAAACTCAGTTTTCATTAAAAATGTGTTTCATAAAATGCAAGCAAAAAACTTTCAGCAATGCAAAGAAATGTTCTAGCAAACAAAATACAGGAATATTTTCCTTCTAAGCAGCTAAAATCAGTAAGCCTGGTATTTATCAGATTTCTAAAAATATCTTCTCTCCAGTAGCCTATTTCTCCCTGTATATACAACAATAGAAAGGGTAGATTTCTTTTTTTTCAAATAATAATAAATACCGCCACTAAAGATGACACATCTTCAGACTAGGGCTTAAAACACAGCATTAAATGATTAATTTCATTCACTGGAACTGAAGGTTAAACACAAGCTGATGACAGCACGAATAAGGCTGAGGAAGATGCTGCACTTCAGCAGCATGGGCAAAAACGAGCAGCCCCAAACCCTCTGAAGCATAGGCAGGACCTGGATGCTTCCCAGAGATCAGCTATTTTCTGTGCTCCAAGATGTAACTTCTTCCCAGCAAGTTGTCAAAAGCCTCCCACACCTGACCCTTATTTCCCATTACTTTTCTATCAAACTCTTTTTATTTTCTGTTTTACAAAGGAAAGAGTAAGTTTTGTGAAGTAAATGTTCCTACCAAAATGACATCAGAAAAGCCCCCATCCAAAAATTTTTAACGGACGTGGCAAATCATAACCTCCTAGTTCAGAAGATTAACATGCAGAGCTTTCATCAGTGTGAATCATACGAAGAAAAACAGTAGCTCAATATAGCTGAACTCCCTGTGACTTGTTAGATGAGTAACTGAGCCAGCGGCATGACCCAGTGTGCCATGTGCCAGGCTCAAAGCCAGGGACCCAAGTTTTTATCCATCTCTCATATCATTTTCCCTCATCAGCAACTCTGGCTATAACGACCCTTCACAAGACTCTCCTTAACCTAGAAACTGTTAAATAAGGTTGGTAATATTTTTATAGCACTTTGAACAGACTATTTTTTCTGATGGAAGCATAGGAAAATTTCAGTCTTTATAATTTTTTAAAATAATTTGTTCCTAACTGTGTAAAGGACATTATAAAGATCATCGTGATATTCTTTCTTGTCTCCTGCACTATCTCATTAATTTTGGCATTAAAGAGTAGATATTTACTTGTAAGACAAACCATTCAAAAATAATGAGAAATCCAACGAAATAAAAGGGGAAAATTCCATGTACGTACTTGACATCATCGAAGGCACTCATCTGCAGCTTCAGGAGATCTGCCACTTCCTTTATTAACTCCAAGCCCTTTTCCACACTCAGGGGGCTGTTGAAAAGGAGCAAGAAAACAGAGCATTACGAAAATGGAACTCATCAATACTTGAGAGGCTAAAAGTCCCAAAAGAGTTATCACCTTGGCCTCTTTGAGTCTGAAAGCCACCACTAACTGTATTCCTGTCACATAGTGATCGTGATATCAAGGGAATTGGGATCAGGTGCTTCTTCAGGCATGATGAATCACCTGAATTTTCCAGCAATAAGACAAACAATAAGGTGTAAATGGAATTGTTAGGAAGTGTAATGGGCCCATGATGCAGCTACCAGTTCATCTCAGTTCTCAATAAAAAAATGTAATAAAGTAAAAGGACAGAAAGAGAGAAAAGGATTGACGAGACAAGGTGGGAAACAAACAATGAAAGTCAAATTGCAGGCTCACTATCCAATGGACAAGGGAAAAGCATATTTTTAAATTCATTAGTTTTTAAAATGAATCTTCACCAAGTGAAAGGATACAAAATTATTATGGATTTGAGAGTAAACAATGGAGCAAGGCACAGAGTCAGAGGACACTGATTAGATACATAGGATTTAGTCTGGTGTGTGCATGCACTGCTGACAGAACCCACTTCAAATCTTTTTAACCTTTGTCAATGCCACATTTACATTTTTTAATTTAGAAAACAGGTTGCAATCAAGCCTAACACAAGAGGACTGCTATCATTTAAAAAAGCACTTACCTAGATGCAAAATTTATGTTTGCAAAAAATTCAGGTTATTAGAGTTGTTACAACTCTAAAGATACATTAAGAACATTCTGTCCCTAATATACGGATCATGCCTTGTTTAGTTGCTGTCAAGTACTGTGGAATCAAATAGAAAAGTGCTAAGAAAATAAAAAGATAAGGAAATTATATAGCAATATCCAGTGAGAACAACAGATACAACATTCTCTGTCTAAACTGTGATTACAGAATTATTCTCAATATTATTAAAGCCCCAAAGATCATGAAATTAAAACTTACAATCTTTATACTTATCTAACTTATGCCACAGTAATTCAGAAGCAACTTTGATGAGACTAACCCGGGGGAAAGGGTTCTGTATTTTTTTCTATCAAGGATTTATAACAAGTAGGAGAAGGAGGTGTCAAAAAAGTATGTACTATTAGACATGGTCTTTTCAACTGGTCAAAGGGCAAAAAAGGGTTTTCAAAGCTCTGTACCTAGGTTATTATTTCTGATTCACAGTGAAAGTTTTTGAATCTAATTTTACAGCACTGCAATCATTGCAATAATTTTATTTATCATCCGCAATGAGCACTATTTATTTATTTATTTATTGCACCAGGTTCTGCATACACTGCCCTAAGGGCACCCCTGTTGAAATAATGGGATGTCTCATGTGGATCTTGGTTAGGATGGAATTGCTCAGCCTCCCTTCATGCTACTAACCCAAAATGCTCACGAGACCTCCTGTCACACAAGCAGAGGTAGCCCCTTAAGGCACCAGATAAATTTAGTTTTTCTAGATATCTAACACAGAAATGTTGCTGTGTGAAAGTAACAAAGGAATCTGATTGTTTCTGTAAGGAAAAAAAATGTACTATAGATTATTCATAAAACCCCTATATTTCAAGGACTGACAGTGGATAGCAATGTGATTTTTCCCATCACTATGAAAGCAGATTGTCATAGTGACTCAGGGGCTTACGTGTTAATTAAATCTTTTCTCCCAAAGATGCTAGCTTAAATTTTATGAAAATGGTTGGTGTCAGCAAGTGAGCTTTTACTGTAATAGCAAGTCTACGCAGCAGTGCAGGCAAAGTCTGCTGCATACATTTTTTTTTACCAAAAATGCACGTGTCATTTTTTTCCTAAAGGAGACTCCTTTGTGAAAGCTGACCTACTCCTTGCTTACGCCTCCTCCCCTAAAAAAGTATTCTCCAACTTCAAAACCAAGGTATGCTGCTACAAGCCAATGTAGTAACAGTAATGGGGAACGTAATCAGAGCATTTGAATACTGAGGAGAGAATGGTAGACAAAATGGTCTGGAAGGCTGCTCTTTTGCAAGCCTGAGCATCCAGGAGTAGTCCTAGCAACTCTCATCCAGTACCACACTGAAAGACATAGGTTCACAAACTCACATACAGTTTGTTAGGCTGAGAAATTGTCATTCATAACAGCACAGGAAAGCTACAGAACCAGTACTTTTTGGTATCAGTACTATCACTGATCACAGTATCACATGTGAGGATTCACAGTAAGAATGATTAATTTATATAATGATATTTTCCAATGTAAGTTTTCCAGTTCCTTAAATTTGATACACACTAGTACTGTTTATTACAGTTCCGTGACAGTTGTACTGTAGGAGAACTGAATAGTCAAAACATTTCTGTAAAAATGCCAGAATATCATTTTCCACACTTTATTTCTGCTTTGCTTTTGTTAGCATTGCTCAGTGTTGCATGGTTTGCACTGGTACAGTGACTGCCTTTAGCTTTGTTTATACAGAGCATACACCCTTCCCAGCAGTGTCAAACACACCCGTGCACTCACATCACCCATCTGATTTCAGCTTTATACAAGGACTGCTACCAGAAGACAACTCACAAACATCCTCCTGCCCGTGGTCCTCCCACACGTCCCAGTGCAAGCACACAGGACTCATGGAATAGCCACTACGTGTGATCTTTCACATACTATGCTTGGTTTTCGGGTTGCTTGATTCAGTCCCACATGGGAAGAAGCCTCTGTATTATGGAATGGGGGTTTTTTACGAATATGATTCATCTGTTGATCATGAGGGTTCAACAACTATGGAACTAATTCAAAGAAAATGTCACAGAAACCAAGAAAAAAAGACAAAAAATAGTTGTTCCCATAAGGAACAGATAGTAAGATACTCCAGACAGAAACTGTAAAAGTATAAAGACAACTCTTTAGAAAACCTTGACGATGAAACTATTTTATCAAGGCCAAAGACTTAGAGAAAAGCTAAGGGTGGGGATAGGGTTCACACTGCTTTGTTTGAACTGTCAAGATGGTTATCTCAGTTCCCTGTAGTGAGGGAGGAGACAGAGGTCTCCTTTTTTGGTGACCGTTCCTGCTGGCTTCAATTCACTTGGAGGCTATGGCCCCTCAGTTTCCAGACATGCTATAACACAGTTCTAACCCATATGTGTTTTCTTTCGGGAGACTGTGATGCGACATTTCTGTACACCAGCAACAGTGAACCCTTAAAAGAGAAATCACAGCTTACATAGGCCTCAGAGATACAAAGCGTGTTCTGGAAGAAACAAAAGCATCAAAACACCTACCCATGGATGCTATTTGTGCTCAGCAGGTTCTCTTCAGGCTGACTAACCTATTTTTTCTGTCAAAGAAAATTAATACTATTTGCAGTGTCTTTAACAGTCCTTCTTGACTCTACCACTCCTTTTTATGATTGCTTTGAAGGTTTCTGATCACAGTTTGATCTAGAATTTGGTCTTGGGAAGAATAAACTCTTGGATGGCATGGCACCTTTTTGCAGATAACACAGCTGTTGCCAGCTGAGATACTGAGATAGTGCTCATTTTGGATTTCCTACCTCTGGTCTCATTGCACTTGCTGTAGATTTCTCTTTTGCACCTCCCTTCAAGTTAACTGTGCTATGATAATAGCAGCTAAAACAAAATGTGATACAACTCACAGTTTACAATAATTATTTTGGGGTCCTTTTCAGGTTTCCAGCTCCAATTCCCTACAGCTTGAATGATAAAAACAGAGACAGAAAGTATAGAAAATTCATGTATAACTAGCTGTTTTTCATCTTCTAATGACGTCTGTGAGTGCTAGCCTAAATATTATTTTCAGTTGACAGATTCAGACCCTACTGAACCGGTGGCAGAACTCTGGCTCACTCAGATGTCTATCTCTATCTCATATTATTTGTAGAATATACTTTGTTTGACAGGTTAATGACAATGAAGAAATAAATGGGGAATGAAATATAAATATTTCCTTTGGTGTTTATGTAGATATATATAGTTTTAAAGTCTGGCAGAATGTCATCTACAAAATGTTTCACTGCTGCTTTTGTTTAATCTCACTTTTCAGGGCATAGCTCTTGCACTAAACTAGTAATACCTGCTGGAGCATATGGCTTATATCTCTGCTAAAAACAGCCAATGTCATGTGGTAGCACTGCATTACCCCTTCAGATGAAATGACTCTCCAGTTCAGTGCAAGGCTCTGATGTCATCATTTAACATCATGACATAACCATGAAATCTTCACTTTTTACCATGTGAAAATCAAATAGTTGAATCCATACCTACTTATCTGAGCCAAAATAATCACGACCCAGTCAGCTCTCTATGACTTCAGCAGGAGTTTTGTCTAATGAAAAAAAAAAAGAGCAGATCTAGACAATAAAGTTATTTTATTTTAGAGAAAAATTCAAAATGAAACTACAGGAATCTCTTAACTTTAATGTGAGCTGCTGAGCCCTTCTGAAAATTAGTGTAATCCATTTAAATGCTCAGGAGTGGATTTGGGAGCCCAGCTTTATGTAATTGTTAAAATGATTCCATAAAATGTACTGGACATTGAACACAGGAAAATTAGATTGCCTGCTGAAAATAATATTTTGTATCTTCCAATGTCTAAATCCTTCCCAGTGAGGGAGCTGAAAAGAGAAATATTTTAAGGAACAACCAACTTATGGGGTAATGTAAATAATAAAACATTGGATTATAATCTTCTGTTATTGTCTATTAAATATTTCAATTTTAATTTGTCCAATTTACAAGAAAAATACCACAATGAGGAGTAATTTCTAAAATATTATTCCAGAAAGTTGGCACAATAAGTGAGAGAATATTTGTTGCTAAATTATTTATAAATGAGGAAGAGAATATATCTTCATCTGGAAGAGCCCTATCATGACCCTCAATTTCACCATCTGTAAAATCAAGACAATGATACCAACTTTCTTTGTCAGGTGCCCAGTGCTGTTATACAAAACACTTCTTATTTGACTTGCATCTCTTCTGGATCTAA